CAAGTTCACATATAACCTTAACTCTCACACCCCTTTAGATCAGGATTCTTCTATGGGATCTTTGATCAAAATGTTTAGTAATGGTGGCCAGGCACCAGCCAGTTCTTCAGGTCTCATGGCAAAGGAGGCAGTTGTTCATGGAGGCAGTTAGCCACATGTTCCATACCCTCCAATGTGGTGATGATTTTTAAGGATGGGGAGATGTGAGCATGTTTGTAGCCTTGGAGAACAAGCAGAAATAGCTCAAAAGACACACATCTAGAGAAGACAAGTCTTGAGACCATGATGTCCTGTAGAGCAAGGTCGACAGACTTTTTTGTAAAGTAAGTAAAAAAAAAGAAAGTAAATATTTTAGGTTTTGAGGGTCAAGAGGCAAAATCAAGGCTATTATGTTGATATCTTCCATAACAAGAGTGAAAACCAACTTCCACAATTTTTATTGACAAAATTTTTAAAAATTGTTATTTGGGTGAAAGTTTACAGAGTAAATTCATTTTCCATGAAGCAGTTCATACACCTTTTGTTTCATGATATTGATTGCAATCCCCATAATGTAACAGGTCCGTGTATCCTTCTTTCCTATGCATTCTTGCCCTCTGAGCTATCTCCCTATGCAAATACTGCCCATCTGATCTCCCAGGACTGATTTATTGAAAACATTTGAAACGTAATAATTGAGTACAATTTTTATAATACAGGTCTATTAATCAGAAGAAGGAAACTTTTTCTAAATAACATTTTGCTTATTTGAGATTCAGAGTTAGTGTCCTTTATGATCAAATCTATTGCAAATGTTCACCTATAAAAATCGTTCATGGCTGTGGGCTCTATGGAAACAAATGTGGGACTGGATTTGACCCATAGGCAATGGTTTGCTGACCCCTCCTGTAGAACTTTTCACAGTCCTTCTGCAGCAAGTCGTGGGTGGGACGGATTGATGCAGATCCACGCCCACAGGTGATTTTTTCACTCAGCAAGTGTTCCTCTGACTTCCCTCTATAAAATAACAGTCCCTTTCCCGCCCCTGCACTGCCCATCTCCTTTCCACTGCTGTAGTTTCACACAGCACTTAGCTGTCATGGTGTAGTGGTTAAGGTATTTTGGCTGGTAACCAAAAGGTTGGTGGTTTGAACTCCTGCCCCCCAGTTGTTCTGTGGAAGCAAGATGAGGCAGTTTGCTTCCATAAAGACTGACAGCCTTGGAAACCTAATGGGGGTTGCAGTAAGTTGAAATGAAAATCGACTCAGTGGCAGTGAGTGGTTGTTTATACACACACACACACACACACAGACACTATGCATTTATGTGGGAGCTCTGGTGGTGTAGTGCCGAAGGCATTTGACTGCTCACCAGAAGGCTGGAGGTTCAAACCCACCAGCCACTCCTTGGAAGGAAGGTTGGGCAACCTACTTCTGTAGTGATACTGCCTCAGAAACCCAAGAAGGGGTCTCTATGAGTCGGATCCGACTCGACGGCAGTGCGTTTGTTTTTTTGGGGCAGAGATACTTTCAGTATTCGAAAGTATCTCCATTAGGCAGCACTAAATAATACTGAAAGCAGTGAGTTTGGTTTTTTGGTTATGCATTTACTTGTTTATTTTCTGTCAACCTAATTTAAATGTCAGATTCATGAGAGCAGAACCTCTGTGTGTGTGTGTGTGTGTGTAGCCTTGCTATTTTCTGGAACAATGTCTGAAAGTGTCTGGCACATCAAAGCCACTTAATAAATATTTGTTTACTGAGTGGAAAGAAGGAAGGAAGGAAGAAAAAGAAAGAAGGAGGGAGGGAGGGAAGGAAGGAAGGTGGCAGGAAGGGTGCATGGATAAGTGGTGGATGGATGCATGAGTAAATGGATTTATACGTGCATGACTAAGTGGATGCATGTATGCGTGGGTGGGTGATTGGATTATAGTCAGTTGACCAATGAGTCGTTGAGATGTGATGATAATGCAGATATTCATGAGCAATTAAACTCCATTCCAAGGAGAAATTCCTAGCCAACTCTAGGAAAAAATAGAAACAGAAACACATATTTTACCCATGGAATAGTCATTGGGGAAAATTTTAGGGGAAATCTCATGGAACTAAGGTTGATTGTACGTCTCCCTGCTGCTCCCAGTGAGAGTAGAATGCACCTGAACTCTGTCCCATCTGGGGACTTGATGTGTCCATGTTCTCTCCTCTGCCAGGATCATTCCTATTTTTCTTATCCATCGGCCCGAGAACAACATCCCTTATGCAACAGTGGAGGAGGAGCTGATAGGGGAATTTGTGAAGTATTCCATCCGGGACGGGAAGGAAATCAACTTCCTGAGAAGAGAGTCAGAGGCTGGTCAGAAATGCTGCACTTTCCAGCACTGGGTCTATCAGAAAACAAGTGGCTCCCTCCTGGTCACGGACATGCAGGGTGAGAAGGGCGGCTTGACCTGGGCGCCAGGGATGCTCTGGGCTTGGGTGCTTCCTGGGGATAGGGAGGTGAGGGCAGAGAAGTCTGCTGGTGTAACCCCACGGTGCCTTTAAGCATTGTCACCAGCAGAAGGTATTATTAATGTCTTGTCTGAGACAAGGTTGGATGAAGGGTCCTGAAATGACCAGCCCAATGGAGTCATAAAGTTCATTTTAATAATTCCTTCTAATAATGCCTCCCCATTACAACAGGTACCCAAAGATTGACCTTATTGTTATCTCCTTACTAGGCACAAACTCAGAAGTACACATGAAAATCCACTGAGGAGGCTGCACTGCATGTAAATAATTATACAACAGTGTGGCCTTAACGGACCTATTCTATCAGCCTCTGGCTATGCTATTGCCCTCTGTCTTTTCCTCTGCACACTTCATTTTGCGTTCAATATCACTTTTCCCCTGAAAAGCAATGCCCTGGCGCATGTGCACTGCTCATTTCACTCCCAACACTGGTCAACACCTCTCCGTAACTGGGAGTGTGCAGTTTAACGTCATGGCACAGTGCTGGGAAGACTCTCCTTATTGTCACTGTGGCACAAGATGGCACACCCTTTCTCTAAGCAATCTCCACCTTTTACAATTGTCCAGAGATGCTGAGATTAGGATAAAAACAAAACAAAACAAAACAGAACTCAGAAGCCTCCAAACTCAACCATCAACCTCAGACTGTTGAAAGTGACCACCTTCCTGGTGGCATTTACTTATTTCCAGACAGTGCCAATTCCCACAGGCATGGGGCGTGAAAGCTGAGCTGTGAAGGGTCCTTGTGGTCTGGGCCCACTAGTGAATTTTTAAGCAGCCGTCACCCAAAACATCCAAGGACTCAAATCCTGGAGAATGAATGGACTCCTGAGGCTGCCGACCTTCCTTCCATCACAAACAGCCTGCAGATGACCGCTATCCGTGACCCAGCTCAACAGCTGTGTACCAGAGGGCCAGTGACTGACCGAGGGAGGCCTTTAATGACCTCTGTCAAATTGCTGTCCAAATTAGGAAACCGAGAGAGGCATTTCATTTCAAAATTTGTCATCTATTTTCCTAAACTACAGGTGACATCTGGTAATGCAGAGAAGCAAGGGAAAGCACTGCCCCAATTTCAAGCACCTTTTTGCCAAATGACTTTTGAAAATTGGACTCACATGTGGCTTAGAAAGTAGAGCTATGATTTTTAAATACAACTTGCCATGAAACAAGATGTCCAAAGAGGGCCTTTGCAATTTGGTGTTTTTTTTTTTTTCCTTTTAAAGCACAGATCTTGTAATAAAAGCTATGTGAAGCCCTTGTACATATGTTCTCGTTGTTAGAAGCACTGAAAGAATGAGATGAATTCGTTACCGACTGTGTAAGAGGCTTTTAAAATGCTCGCTGGAGCACCCAAAGTGCTGCGTATGATTGAGCTCGCAGGTGCACAGCAGAAACGCAGGGCTCATTGTATCTGTGACTAACCGGACCGAGTGGCAACATGTCCATATTCCTGTCAGGCTCCAGGCAGACGCTGCCGAGGCAAACCGTTAACCCTTTGGCTTTCCTTTCCTGGGTCTCAGCAAACGGTGCTCCTGGAACCATGGAGAACCATGGGATGAGGGTAACATCAAGGAGCCTTAGTGGTGCAATGGTTAAGCAGTCAGCTGCCAACCTAGAGGGTTTGAAACCCACCAGCCACCCTGTAGGAGAAAAGACCTGGTGATCTGTTCCCGTAAAGATTACAGCCTAAGAGACCCAATGGGGTTCTACTGTGTCACACTGGGTTGCTGTGAGTTAGACCCACTCAACAGCACACCACAACAACAGGGCACCATCAGATCTGACCCCCAGGGATTGGCATTGGCAGGGCACACTGTTTTCTTCCTCACAGCCCAGACTGGCTCCTATGTTGCCAGGCCCCTCGGTGGGCAGGATCACCTGCTGGGTGAGGAATACCAGTGATTACAGGCTGGTTCATGGAAGGCAAGAGTCAGGGACAAGAGAGGAGGCCAGACTCAGACCTGGAGTGGTGCAGGTCCAGACAGATGGGTGGGGTAGCCCTGTGGACCGGTGTCTTGTGATGAAAGGTCCATCACTAGAGTGCATGGCAATTACATCAACTTACATCAAGTTGGAGCAAGGGCCCATAGCCACCATCCCAGAGAAATGGGAATGGAATTGGTACCTGGGATGGCAAGGGGCTTCTGCAAAGACCTACAGCATGAACACTCAGGACATCAGAGAGGTGCTCTGACCGCTGCCAGTCCTGGTTAAAGATGAGGGGCAGAGACTGGAGTAGGGTGGGGGAGGGTGGCTCTCTTCTGGGCTGCAGAAGGTGTTGGCAACTCCTCACCTTGGAAGACAACAGCATTTTCCATTCTCTTTGCATCCCCGGTCTCCCTGCTGCTGTCTCAACTGCTCCTGCTGGCAAGGCAGAAGCAGCCAGCCTCCTGCCTGCTCAGGATTCTTCCAGGGCTGCCCAGGGCTCTTTGCTGAGCCCAAGGGGGAGGCTGAGGTAACTGCTCATTTTGGTTTCGGTAGCCACCACTAATATGGCTTAATGGAGAGGAGTTAGGATGTGTCAGAAGGTCAGACCATGGCTTGGAAATGTTAATGTCCCCAAGCCACTGGTTAAAATCTATGTATAAGTCAGGGGTATTTCCCTGGGTCTAACCCAACCCAGAACACCTCAGTCCTGGATCTGAAAAACGTATGGCAACGGGACTCTCATAGCTAGAGTTTGGCTCTGAACCCAAAGAAAGGCCTTCTGGGATTTTGTTGACAATGGCCACCCTCATCCACACCCATTCTTCCTTCCACTGGGTAAGGGTTTCCTTGTTAAAAGAGGAATGGGGACCAGTCCTAAGCCCAATTCATTTCTGAGGAGAAAGCTCATGGGGAAGTGACAGGCCTTTCATTCAGTCATGGAGGGGCAGGTGTCACTCCCCAGTCAAAGGTCTGTGGGCCACGCATACCCAGGACCTCATTCCTCAGAGCTGAGAGGGCTTGGGGTGTTTGCGGTGGGTAGGACCCACTGCTCACATGGTGCCCAACTCCCGAGGGGCTGCCCACCCCATGATCATCCCATAAAGCTGGTGCATGTCTGGTAGACTGCCATCCTCCACAGAAGGTGGCCTTTGGCAGGAAGGAGGATGGAATTGCGTGTTTGTACAGGAAGGGAGATGAGGATGGTCTGCCACTACCCACCTCTGTTGCTAGATTGCTGGTCCTTCCTTGAGGAGCCCAATGTAACACACACCCCATCTTTGTTCTCTCTTCCCATAGGTGTGGGAATGAAGTTAACTGACGTCGGCATAGCAACGTTGGCTAAAGGGTGAGTAGAAACAGAATTGAACGTGCATCGTTGAACACGGGCTCCCGAGACCTTCTGGGCACTGCTGTCGAGGCGTGTGTGAAGCTAAGCAGACTCCTTGCCTTGACTGTGGACGACAAATGTTCTTGGGGTGAATTCCGTTCCCTTCTCTCACTTACATCAAATATTTATGGGCTTCATTCTCTCAGGGAAACACATTTGTTCCCTGACTTGGGAACAAACCAGAACTCTGCAAATGCAATTTAAGATTAATTACTAACAGGAGTGCCATGGGGCAAGCATGCCAGCATTCTTGGGATTTCTCCCAGCTACATATATCCCATTTCCCTACCTTTAGGAACATTTAATAGCTTCCCCATGCAAAATGTCTTAAGAATATTTTCTTTTGCAACTGAGTACAATGAATTCAATTTGCTTATTTGGAATGTATTTTTCCCCAAAAGAACTTTCAAGGGGCTCGCAGCCTCCCGTGATGATTGCAGGAGCAGGCGGCTACTGGGCTTCTCACTTACCTTGGTGGTTGTTGATGGTTTTGCTTCCCTAGCTTAGGTGTTGTTATTGTTGTCAGGTGCCGTCGAGTCAGCTCTGACTCACAGTGACCCTATACACAACAGAACAAACCACTGCCTGGTCCTGCGCCAGCCTCACAATGCTTGCTATAACTGAGCCCATCGTTGCAGACACTGTATCAATCCATCTCGTTGAGGGCCTTCCCATTTTTTGCTGACCCTCCACTTTACCAAGCATATCCTTCTCCAGGGAATGGTCCCTTCTGGCAACATGACCAAAGTAGGTGAGACAAAGTCTGCCCATTCTCACTTCCAAGGAGCATTCCGGCTGCACTTCTTCCAGGACAGATTTGTTCGTTCTTCTGGAAGTCCGTGGTATTTTCAGTATTCTTCATCAACACCACAACTAAAAAGCATCAACTCACCTCCTAGTTTAGAGTAGGATGTTATTTTATGCAGGGTGGTGCATGGCCAGATGGTGCTATGTGAGAATTTTAGTGGGATATCATTTTTTTGTGGTTGTGGTTGTCCTATATGTGTATTTGTACATGTGTGTTATAAATAGAAAACCAAAAGAACCAAACTCACCATGGAGTGGATTGCGACTTAGGAAATATACGTGTAATCAAACATCTGCCATTATATCTTTTGCATTTATAGTTTAGTGACCTTAATTACTTCCGGCAAGTTCTTCAACCATCACATTCACCATTTCCAGATTTTCCCATCACCTTTAATGGAAGCCCAGTGCCCTAGGGGTGTGTCTTTCTACAAAGTATCTCCTTTCATGATTTACTTGACTCCCACAGGGGCAGAGAAAGCAAGCTAATTGGGGTTGGTGGTGAAAATAAATTTCTGTTTTGGAGGCTTTGCCCATTACTGCTGTTCCCAAGTACTAAGTGCATTTGTAAGTGACAGAAAAAAGAGGGCCCATGACTATGGAAGGGGGAGCTTAGTCTCCTACGGCTGGGACTATTCATCTCTGTGAGTTTCCATTTCAGCCATCCGCATCAGCTAGGCTTACCAAATGTGCTGGGTTTCAGCTGTAAGGATGGAGGAAAGGAGAAATGGAAAAAACAAAACAAAACAAAAAAAAACCACCCGTTGCTGTCAAGTCAATTCTACTCATAGTGACCCTAGAGGACAGGGCAGAACTGCCCCATAGGGTCTCCAAGGCTGCAAAACTTTACAGAAGTAGACTGCCTCATCTTTCTCTCATAGAGTGGCTGGTGGGTTCGAAAAAGCCTTTAATCATTGCACCACCAGAGCTCCTGGCAGGACAGGAGAGGGATTTGGAAAAGCAGACAGGGGACAACTCTTCTTCTTATTATTGTTATTGTTATTTGGGTGAAAGTATACAGAGCAAATTCATTTTCCATACAATAGTTCATACACATTTTGTTTCATGACATTGACTGCAATTCCCCACAGTGTAACAGCTCTCTTCCCACTTCCTCCCTGTAGTTACCTCTTCCCTGTGTCCTTCTTTCCTGTGCATTCCTCCCCCCTGAGCTAGCTCCCTGTGCAGATACTGCCTCTCTGTTCTCCCATGGTTGATCGTTCTAAGGAGCTTATCTACCTGATGAAAATGTTCACCCCATATGCCTGTCTATTATTGTTTGGCTGGAAGCCATGGGAATGAGTTCAATTCCAGACTTGAAGGGTAACTAGGGGCCATAGTCTTGGGGGTCTCACCAGGCTCTAACAGACCAGTAAACTTGTCTTTTTTTTTTTTTTTTTAATGGTTTTGAGTTTTGTCCCACATTGTTTGTTCTCCCTCTATCCAGAATCTCCTGCACTGATCCCTTTATGACAGTGGTAGCTGGGCACCATCTAGTTCTTCTGATCTCATGGTCATATAGGCTGAGGATCACATGGTCTACAAGTCTCTTGGACTAATTGTTCCCATTCATCTTTGATTTTCTTCATTGATCTTTGTTCTGGATGAGGAGAGACCCATTGTTGCATCTAGATGGCTGCTTGCAAGCTTTTAAGACCCCAGGTGGTACTCACCAAATTAGGATGTAGAACAGTGCTTTTGTGTGGTATGTTACTCCAGTTGAGCTTGATGGACAAGGGCTAACTCTTGACTTTCATCTCCTGATCATAAATGTGATTCTCAAAGCTCTCACTGACTGCACAAGGTTTTGGACTTGGTTTTAGAATCAAGATGCAGCTTGGATATTTTCCCTGATGTAGTTCCTTCTGAAAAACTGCTCAGTCACAATACAGTTCTGTGTTGGGACAATTTCTGTGTTTCCCTCCATGGTGACAAGGGTCATAAGCCTTAGGAAAGTGGGTGATGGCCTTGGGTGATGCAGTGGGGGGACAGGGGTTTAGAGAGACCTGGCCCTGCCACCAACTTCTGCTTCTCCTACTCGTAGCCTTGCTCCTTGATGTCACAGGAACTTGTCTGGCCTATCTGATGAGAAGGGGACCATGCATCTCATTTACCTGGAACAGAACTGTTTTATGCCTGATGCCCAGCATCCTATCTAGTTTCACATTTGCTTTGGACCAAACCAAACCAAATCCACTGCTACTGAGTTGATTTTGACTCACAGCAACCCTATAGGACATAGTAGAATTGCCCCATAGGGTTTCTGAGGCTGTAAATCTTTACGGAAGCAAACTGCCTCATCTTTCTCCCATAGAGCAACTGGTCAAACTGCCAACCTTTTGGTTAGCAGCCAAATGCTTTAGTCACTGAGCCACCACTTCCTTGTGTGGGAAAAAAAATTAAATTCCATCTTTCTCTCACCAAACTGTAAGGATTAATCAAATCAGTTCAACTCCATCCCACTTCGGTTCTGACCCCACTACTGAGGCAATGCCTCCTCCTCTGCCCCTGACCACCTGGAGCTGGGTTAGCACTCACAAGATAAAGGGTCCAGTCCTGCAGGCTGCTAAGTCAGCCCAAGACCTTGGCCGCCAGCTGCCAGCTTGGGAGTCCTCGTGACACCCTTGCTTCTGACCTTGGGGCTTCCTTTTTGCCCTCCAGGGTACCACTCACAAGCTCAGGACTCCCCAGCTGCCTTCACGTCTGACTTGCTGGCTACCAGTACTCACTTGGGTTCGAGAATTCATGAGAATGACTCATAAAACCCACAGAAAGTGCTATACTTAGGATTACAGTTTTGTTGTAGAGAGAAGGGTGCAAATGAAGAGATGCACAGGGCAAGATCTGGGAGGGTTCCCAACACGGGGTGATTGTCTCCCAAAGGGCACACTACCCTCTGATGTGCATGCATATTGGCTACCAACCAAGAAGCCCCTGGAACTTCTGTGTCTAGAGCTTGTACTGAGGCTTCATTTACATGGACGTGATTGACTGAGTTACTCCCAGGTCAGCTGATACCACATTGCAGTGGTCCTGCTAGCCTGGCCAGCCCCACCTGAGCACCTCATTAGCATAAACCCTCAGGTGTGGTCTGGAAGCCTCATCAAAAGCAGGTCAGTCATGGAGGAGTTTCCAGAGCTTCAGAGCTTACCCTCTCAGGAACCAAAGACAAAGATGAAATTCTGGGGTAAAGTTAATTTTAAACTCCACAACAAGAGTCCTCATTTAGAAAGATGATTGATTTGATGTCCCTATTTATGAAGTCCTCTGGATTCCAGGAGGATTTCCTGAGTGGAGCCTTCCTTATGGACACGGGTGTTCTGTACAGAACATGCCGATACAGGCGTCAGCCAGACTTGGTTTGAATCCTGGCTTCTTGGTCTTACCAGCTGTGTGAAGGTGAGTGTGTGACTTCAGGTTCTCGGAGTCACTGATCTAGCAAATGGGGAGCCAAAGGATTGTCATGAGGATGCCCCAAGCTCATCTGTACCCAGTCCCTGAAGCTGCTAAGATCTTGATAAATATTGGTCTCCGTGGCCCCCTCATAAGGAGTTCTGGTGGTATGGTGGTTAAAACATTTGGCTACTAACCAAAAGCTTGGTGATTTGAACCCCTCAGCCACTCCATCGAAGAAAGATGAGGCAGTCTACTTCCATAAAGAGTTACAGCCTTGGAAACCCAGTGGGGATCACTATGAGTTGGAATTGACTTGATGTCAGTGAGTTTGTTTTGTTTTGTTTATTTCCCCTACTCATGCCTTACCCTAACATCAGAGGAATCAAATTTCATACCTTTATTTGGAACAAAGGAGCTCTGGTGGCATGATGGGTAAAGCATCCATCTGCTGACCAAAAGGTCAGTGGTTCAAAACCACCAGCTCAATGGCAATGGGTTATTTAGAACAATTTTCTACCAAATCAAAACAGAAACCTGCTCGAGAAGTTTCAAAAACTTAGACAGGCGTAAGAGGGTGGTTATTTAAGCCATCTTTTCAAAGTAAGTCAACAGCTTCCAGGAACCAAGACCAACTGAGAGCTTCAAAGGCTGCATTTTCCCCCTTTATTTAAAAAGAAATCCAATCTCTTGGTTTGTTCTCATCTTTAATGTGACTTAACTGGCCTGGGACGGCTGCCCAAGACCCATTAGAAGAG